GTTTTCCTTTTATAATGACACAGGAATGCTAGTTTCTCATTTTTGTATTATTAAGTTAAGGTATAATTATTTTTAGGAAAATCATGTATTGAATATTCATTTATTTCTAACATCAGTGCTTGGTATTCTCATGCAACTCATCTTATTCAACACAATAATCCTGTGAAATGTTGTTTAAACAAATAAAGTAATGAAGTGTTGAAAAGTTTATGTAAATTGTCCAAGAGTCCATAGAATGTCAGTGACAAAGCTAAATCTAATCCCAGGCCTGCATGGCTCTAAAGCTCATGGCATTTCTGTCCAACACATTGCTTCCAAGTCATAACTGAATCTGAATTTGTGTCATATATCTATATTTTTCTTAAATTTTAAACTTTCATTAAGTCTTGAGTCCATGCCACTTAATAAAGTCCCTACCTTCTGTACAAAGATAAGGGATCTAGTGAAGTTCCGACATGTAATTGCATGATGTTCATAACATGGCATACTATTGTTCAGTTAATTCACACATAAAATTATTCAAGCATCTTAGTTCTGAATAAAAGTGCAAGAGTGTGGCAGAATGAACATATGACTGTCAATGGTAGTGTTCATGCATGTGTGTGTGTGTGCGCACATGTGTGCAAGTGTGTTTGTGTGTGTGAGAGAGAGATAGAGACAGAGAGATGGAGAAAGTTTGTTCAGTATGCTGGAAACAGAATTCTTTAAGGAAAAATATTCTTTATTTCTGGTTATTCTTTATAAAGCAGAATTATGGGCATTTTGTGATTATTATTGTAAAAGAGCAATAATGCGATAAAGAATAAGAGTTTCTAAGAGTAAATAAACTTTATATTAAACGATACAGGAAAACATTAAATGATTCTAATTTTCTTCCAGTCAAAGAGGATATTATTGACTAAAATAGAATTAAAGTGGCATGTGACTAGAAATTTCTCATTTTCTCAGTTATAGTAACCTTTTTTTCCTCCCTTTAAATGATAAATGATTGACTTTTCATCTTCCTTTGCTCCACTCATTCTTCTCCACTTATTTTTATAACACTTTTTCATGTCTTTCTTTCTTAATTCTCTTGCGGGCATCCATTGGATATTTAATACATAGGAGCAAAGTACAGACTTCAGAGTGAAAGCATTCGGTTGAGAGCTTCAAAACGTCCTCTTCATATGGCTGTGCAGAGTGTAGAATATAGTGGGTTAATTTACTATGCTAAATCTTAGTACATCAACATTGATTTTATTCTAAAATGTTACAGAGTCACATTAACTCAGGCAGACCTGTAATGCCCAAACCTATTTTATAATCCTCTCACCAATTCAAAGACAGCTTATTTCAACTGTCTTGAAATCATTATGATTGCTTGTTATGATTGCCTGATAGTTCTTCCATGTACTGAACAGTTATTTTTTTTTTTATCCCATATCTTTCCCTCCCTCCTTTAGCAGTGCCCAGTGTCTGTTGTTCCCACCCTTGTGCCCATGTGTGTCCGGTGTTTAGTACTAGTGAGTGAGAACAGGTGGTATTCAGTTTTGTTTTTGTGATAATTCACTTGGAATGATGGTCTCCAGTTGCACCCATGTTGCTGCAAAGAACATGATTTCATTCTTTTTTTACAGTTGTGTAGTATTCTATAGTGTGTATACCACATTTTCTTTATCCATTCCACCACTGTTGGGCATCTGGTGAACTGTTATTTTGAGTATCCTCAGATTTCTAAAAATTGAGACTGGAGTAGTAAAAATTAAAAGATATATGTCAATTTTCCTCATGAGTTCTTGCCCAAGATAAACTCCTTATGTTCCTTCATCCACTTTAAGACCCTTGTGTCTTCTGATTCTCTTCACTCATTCTCATCAAATTAACACAGAATGCTATTCAACTATCCTATTTTTTAGCAGCCGTTGCAACATTCTTCCCAATCTTGCTGATGTTCTTTGATGCATGTTTGTCTTTTTATGTTATAATCCACAATAAAGCCTACTTTTTCATTAAGTCACTAGATCTTACAAATACAGATTTAAATATATATTTTCAAATATTTTCTCATATTTATGATCAATGATACTCACAATTTATATTTTTTTATGAGTTTTTTTGTTCTTCATAAAAACAATTTCTCATTTTGGAAACTTTCTCTTATCACTCTCATGTTCAGCTTAATTAAACATTTTGGATGATATCTGTTCATTTTCATTCTTCCCTGTCTTAGTAAGATGTTCTATAATTCTAACCATTTTCTTTGCAATCTTATATGAAATAACAGACATAGGTAGAGGTCATAAGTCTTGACAAACTCTGTCATATTCAGGATGTATGCTCCATAAATATTAACCAAGACTACCTCTGACAATTTTGAACATATACGAGGTGTAATAGTAGTTGATAGAAATGACTATTACCAGGATAAATTATTTTTAAAATTCCAGGATCTTTGGTCCTTTGATTTTACCTACTAGTTTTCCTCACTGGATTTTAATTCTCTAATAGGGATGATCTTTTCCTGGATGGGATGCTGGGATTGCCTCAAAACTCACTGTTAGCAGAGTTGCTTGCCCATTACCTTTTCCCCACAATCCTTACAATTGTGGGTTAGCTCATTTTTGCCTTCTGCTCATTCAGTCATTAATTGTAACATAATAATATATGTTCGATATTTTTGCTGTGTTATCTTCTTTACTGTCTCTTTGAATGTCATCTCCATTCAACTCGATCTAAGAAAGATTATTTTCAAGTATACTTACCTTCTATTGAATCAAGAGATTCCAAGTCTATATCTTTTTAACTATTGACGTATTTTCTCTGTGCCTTTTGTTACTGACAGTTATTAACAAAATCTGTTTTGAACATTTAGTTACCTTCATTGTCCTTTCAACAGATACTTGCTTGAGGACAATATCATCTCTGCAGCCTTCTCAACTGATGAATGTTTTTTTCTCTTATCATTTTTAACCCTAGGCCTGATGGTAAATAAAGTCTTCCCTTTCCCCCATTGTTGCTTAAAGACATTCTTTCTCCTACTACCTACGAACATGCATAGTTGAGTTGTACACCATCAGATTGTACTAACCAATCCTCCTTATCCCGCCTCCTCCTTTTGCAATCATCAATTGACTAGCATCATGTCTCCTCATTTTTGGAAGATTTGGGGCTCTGGCTTACTCTCTTGCTCTCTTTCATTATTTCTGTCACAATTCCTGATTGTTTGTTTTAATGTCTCTACATAGAAGATCCTGTTTCTTGACATTTTCTCCAAAGATCTTGTTTTCCTTCCTACCAAAACCAGTACCTCCCGTTCTTAGAGTTTTGATGCTATCATTTGCCTGTAACTATAGCTTTTCCATAATCTCATTTTTAAGCACCCAAACTGTAACTACCACCAAGCCTTATCTTTCCAGCTCATTTTCCCCAGTAAAGTACAGCAAATCTTCAATTCTTGGAAATCTGGAATGGAATGTTTTATTACCCATCTCAGGTACTCAGTTCATCTTTGCCTAGCTTGAATGTAATGGTTATTTGACTCTCTATTTTTCTTGTACCCTCAAATTATATATATATATATATATATATATATATATATATCCTTTCTGTTGCTTTGCTAAAAGAAAATCCTAGTTAAATCTTGTTCCTCATCTATCAAGCACTTTTAACTGTTCTTCTGAAAACAAGGGATATATCAGTTTTCTAAGTTATGAGCACTTAATGAGATTCTTAGCACCTAACTCATAGAATTATTATCCTGCAGCTACATCTTTATATTAATTCCTGTATCGCAAATTCACCTTTTCAAGAGTATATGTATTATTTACATATTAACATAATCTAAAAACATTTTTTAACATATAATGAGCCAAGTACACCTACTGGTATTCTATATTCTTCTTTATAAATTATAGAAAATATTTATGTGATATAAAGATGGTAATGAATTAGTAGTCCAGAAATATGATTTTTCATCTCAGCTCAGTTACCAGAAAGTCATTTGATCTAAAATTAGCTACTTTTCTAGATCTCAGTTTATAACTTTGTAAAATTGGGAAAATGAAATGGATTATTTCTAGAACCTTTTGAAACTTGGCATCCTGTGACTCTATGAGAGAGCTTTCATGCTTTTCTTGCTTTTTCTTGCTTTTTCATGTTTTTTCTTTTTTTCTGTAGGAAGTTGGTATGGGGAAGGACTTTCTAAAAGCAGACCTACAGATTTAGTTTTTATCAGGCAGGGGCTATTCAGATGGGGGTGGATATTTGTGGGATCCAGTCCAATCTGAAGGAGGCTGGAATTTTGTAGCGGGCTGAAACCTTGTATGAGGCTAGAACCTCCTCGTAAAAGGCTGGAACCTTCTGTTAGCAACCCAGTCCAAACTTGTGCAGAGTCTCAGGCATCTGTGGAGCCTTCCAGGAGTAACCTGATCAGTATGCCTTCCCCTAATTGGCTCATTATCATAAATAGCTTACTCCTGAAAAACCCATTTTTCTGTCTACTTGTTTATGACTTGAGCATGTTACTCGCTTTCTTTTTTCTGTCTAAACATCCTGGATATTTGTTGTACTTTCTGCCAACTGTGAGACCTTTGGGTCAGTACTCATAGACTGCTGTTGAGCTACTCACCTTTTCCTCCCTTCGATCATGTCTTTGGTCTAAGCAGATTCAGTTACTGAGTTCTTCATATAATCTAGTAGCTGTCTCTGGGATGTGCTCATTGAATACCTAAATTGATCACATGATATGAGTTGAGTGTATTGAGTTTAAAAGAAAAACAAAACTTTTTTCTGAGTATTCCTGACTTTACATTAATAAACCTTTATATTTGCAAGTCTTGCATGAGATATTATGTGTAAAAACATTTTCCCCTCAAATGTCGACATGAGTGCCTACACTGCTACAACTTTATTATACATAGTATACATACATTTACTGTAAAAATAAGTATGCAAATTATACTTTTTAATTCAGTTTTAACATTCATTTGTTTTTCTTTCAGTGGACATCATTCCCAATATAGATGGGGACTGGAAACTACACAACTGTGACAAAGTTCATTATTTTGGGATTAACAGAGAATTATACAGTTTGTGCCATTTTATTCATTGTATTTCTAGGAATCTATGTTGTTACCTTAATGGGTAATGTCAGCATAATCATGTTAATTAGAGGAAGTCCTTCTCTACATACACCCATGTACATTTTCCTCTGCCATTTGGCCTTTGTAGACATTGGATATTCCTCATCAGTCACACCTGTCATGCTCATGGGCTTCCTTAAGAAGGGAACCTCTCTTCCTGTTGCTGGCTGGGCGGCCCGGCTCTGTTCTGTTGTGATGTTTGGGACTACCGAGTACTTCCTGCTAGCTGCCATGGCCTGTGATCACTATGTGGCCATCTGCTTGCCCTTGCTCGACTCCACACACATGTCCCCCAGAATCTGCATCTTTTTAGTGGTGATGTCGTACCTAGGTGGATGTGTAAATGCTTGGACATTCATTGGCTGCTTATTAAGTCTGTCCTTCTGTGGGCAAAATAAAGTCAATCACTTTTTCTGTGGCTATTCACCACTTTTGAAGCTTTCTTGTTCTCATGATTTTACTGCTGAAATAGTTCCAGCTATCTCTTCTGGATCTATCATTGTGGTCACTGTGTTTGTCATAGCCGTCTCCTACGTCTCCATCCTTATCACCATCCTGAAGATGCACTCCACCGAGGGGCGCCACAAGGCCTTCTCCACCTGCACTTCCCACCTCACTGCAGTCACTCTATTCTATGGGACCATTACGTTTATTTATGTGATGCCCAAGACCAGTTACTCAACTGACCAGAATAAGGTGGTGTCTGTGTTCTATACAGTGGTGATTCCCATGTTGAACCCTCTCATCTATAGTCTCAGGAACAAAGAGATAAAAGCAGCTCTGAAAACAAAGCTTGGTAGGAAAATATTTTCTTAATGAAACTATTTTGAAGAATTTGATATATTAGCAACTCATCAATATAATATAATAATAAAAGAACATTTAGAGTCTGCGAGTAAAATATATCTGTCCATATTGCATTAGCTAAGCATGAAACTTTTTAGTCTCACTCAGGAGGGTGGATTTTTAGGTATCAAATAGTAAATCAGAGGCTCACTGTGCATGGTCTTTAATAAGATTAAATTAAATTTAGAATTGAGAACGCAAATTGTTTTGCATGAAAAACAGTCTGCTAAAAGTCTTTAAAAATTTTATTCATATTTTTCAAGAGTTGTTCTCTACCATAAATTAATATTATTATACCTTGAAAGCCTTAGACACTGTGCATTTTCAGTTCATCCTGAGATAAACCTGATAACTATAGTTATGACTGAGTACATTCTGAGAGGAAATGACAAAGTGGGCCCAGACAGTAAAATTGATGGAGACAATCTTCTTCCTTAAATCTGCTGGGGATGAGTTTTGTGGGCACACACAGTTCTAGACTGCATTCCTAGCCTCTAGTTTTGGCAAATAGTGCCAAGAGGAGAAGAGGTTGGGTTGTCTCTGAGTGTCTTGTGAATTTCTCTGTCTGTTATGTGCCCTTATCCCTCCCTCCCTCCTTTGGCAGGGTCCAGCATCTTTTATTCCAAATGGATCAGAGACCTAAATATAAAACCTCAAACCATAAGAACCTTAGAAAAGGAAGGAAATACCCTCATGGAAATCGGAACTGGCATCCAATTCCTGTACAAAACCCGAAACCCACAGGTCATAAGAGAGAAGATAGACAAATGGGACCTTATTAAACTGACAAGCTTCTGCAAAGCCAAAGAAACCAACAAGAGAGCAGGGAGACAGCCTACAGACTGGGAAAAAGTCTTTGCCAACTCTAGGTCTGACAAAGGCTTAACATCCTGGATCTACAAGGAACTGAAACGTACTGAAAAGAAGAAAACAAACAACCCCA